GCTTCCTTCCTCCTTCCTTCCTTCCTTCCTTCCTTCCTTCCTTCCTTCCTTCCTTCCTTCCTTTCTTTCTTTCTTTCTTTCTTTCTTTCTTTCTTTCTTTCTTTCTTTCTGAGACAGGTCTCCCTATGTTGCCCAGGCTGGAGTGCAGTGGCTATTCATAGGCACGATCCCACTACTGATCAGCACAGGAGTTTTGACCTGCGCTGTTTCTGACCTGGGCCTGTTCCACCCCTTCTTAGGCAATCTGGTGGTCCCCCGTTCCCAGGAGGTCACCATATGATGCCGAACTCAGTGCAGACACCCGATAGGCATAGCACACTACAGCCCAGAACTCCTGGACTCAAGTGATCCACCTGTCTCAGCCTCCCAAGTAGCTGGGACTACAGGCGTGCGCCAGTGCGCCCCGCTCAAGTGGGCTTTTAAAGGGCCAGCTGCAGTTGGACATTGAGCACATCATTTTGTATTTAGGTGTGGAGGCCTGACTCTCCCTTCCATAAGACAATAAAGGGATACAGAACATCTCTTCAGCTATACCCCAATGTGCTGCTTTATCCACTTATTGAGTAGAATTTTTCTTTTTCCTTTTTTTTTCTTTTTTAGATTTTCACTGTCTTTCTGTTTTTGAACGTCTATTTTTATTTTTCTGTGAAAATCTTTCTGCCTGGTCATTTTTATAGCCTTGATTATTTTTGTCTTCCTTTTTCTAGTGTTTAAGTATTTTTATTTTTAATTGTGAATATGCATATGTACCTAGATGCAGATACACAGTTGAGTCCAGGAGTCCATGGAGGCCAGAAAGAATCACCTGGAACTGGAATTACAAGTGGTTGTGTGTTTCCCAGTGCATGATGGGAACTGATCTCAGGAAGGGTAGCATGTGTCCTTAACCACTGTGCCTCTCTGGAGCCCCTGGGCATTTTGTCTGCTGTTATATGTCCATGCCTACAGTTTCAGTATTGAAGAAGAGGCTTAACCATGCTGTTCACTGTATCTGCTGATCCTTGCTGCTGCCTTCCCAAAGCTCCCCATAGTCTGTGGTTTGGTATTCCCATTGTTGCTCTTACTTCCTGGGACTCCCAAGGGCCTAAGACTGGGATGCTTTTATCCGGAGGGGACATAGATTGGCTTCCCCTGAGGGAGGGGGCGCTGGCCCAGTATATTGCAGGAATCTACAGCTCCACTCTCTCTTCCCTGTGACCCATCTTAGAGTCCTCAGCCCACAGTCGGTGACGGTGACAGCTTTAGCTCGGGGAGCACCCTTGTCCCCTGTCCTTCATCCTCCATGTCTCCCTCTTTCCCGCCTGGCACTTCTCTGTATGGATAGGAAAGGAAAGACACTCCCCGGCCCCCAAACATACACACACACACCTTATCTATCAAACACAGGCCGTTGCATGTGGGAAGTATTCATCATGTAGCTAATGCTTGGTTAGTTAATATTTAAACAAATTAGTGTATCTTAACGCCAGTTTTCCTCTTGAACCAATGCCCTGTCCTGTGTGCTTTCCTGATTATCTGAACTCTTAATTATTCGAAGAACTTCCTCCCTCAGGTCACAAATGATGAATTCGTTGTCCATCCAGCTTCGAGCACCACCGCCATCTCCCAGCCTTTGCCAACTGCGGCTTACCGTGGCTGGGCCCACATCCCTGTTTGTCCTAATGTTTGTAACTGTTTGGCTCTCCTCCATCTGCTGCCAATGCAGAACTATTTATATCAACCCAGAGACGCCTTGGTGAGCTTTGCTGGGATAATAACACATCCTCAGAATGCCTTTCATCACAGAGGAACCCAGTTCTCCTAGAACACCTCTGCTGGCACTGGCCCAGGGACCCTCCCCCACAGGGACTCCTGGCTTCCCCTGGTAAGTGGCAGCTACTGGCCCATAAGCTTGGATGATAAGGTCTTTGCCTTGCGACTGAAGGCCCTGGCCATGAGACATGCAGTGGAACTTGCCCAAAGAGGTCATGACAGCTGAGTCACAGAGCACAGCATTGGAACTGAGAATCTGAGGGAAGGAGAGTGTTCAGTGGGAGTGCAGCCAAGGTGCTGAGTCATGGCCCTGGGCTCTGCATGACTTGCTCTGTGTCAAAGCTTCTAGAAGGAGATGTTGTCCTTCTTTGAACATTATGCCACAGAGACGCATGCCCAATATTACACAGCACCCCATAAATATCAATTTTTAAATATTGTGTGTGCGCGTGTGTCTGTTGTGTGTCTGTGTGTAGGTCACAGGACAACTTGTGGGAGTCTGTTCTCTCTTTGCACCATGAAGATTCTGGAAGAGGACTGTGGGGATTGAACTCAGGTCATCAGGCTTGGTAGCAAACACCTTTACGCTTCGCTCACCGAGCCATCTTGCTAGACCGAGTATCAGTTGTTTACAACAAAATTAGTTGATTAAAAAAGACCGGCATTTCCTATCCAAATTTGTTATTTTTATGATCATCTTCTTTTGATTTAAATAAAAAGAGGGATTGGAGAACTCTTGTCTTCCCAGTGCCAGGGCCTGGCTTCGAGCT